CAGTGTAACATACATGTGGCAAAGTGCACAAATTGTATGTGCACATGTACTTATTGAGTACCTTGATAACTTCTCATATATTGAACACCTGTGTAACCAACAAACACCGCGCCACGCACTCCAGAAGCCTGTCTTCCACAGAGACAACCACTACCCTGGCTTCTTACACTATTCATTAGTTTTGCCTGGTTTTGACTTTATGTAAATGGAATAATACAGTGAGTATTCTTTGCAGCCACACTATTTTTTGATCATTTGTAGTACCTGTATTCTTCTCTACCTCCCTCCCCACCTCTATCTTACGGAGGCTCCCTGTCTTATTTGGTTTTGTATTTCCCAGGTCCCCAAACCAACACCTGGCCTCTGGCAGCTACTCAGAATGTTCATAAGTGAATGAATGACTGCGCCCTCACACATCTAGCCAGGAAACTGGCCAGTTTTAAAACTCAGGTCTCCTTATTCTAAGCCGTGAGTTTGTTTTTCACTTTGAGGAGAATTTGTGTATAAATGGTCCCATTTGTTTCATGTAAGAAATCTTGAAGAAAGTTCTGGTGACCATGTTATTAGCTGCAGTTGAGTTGGAACATGGCAACCCCATGTAGTACAATGGAACTAAACTCTGCCTGGTCCTGCATCTTCCCCATGATCAGTTGTGGAATGATTCATAGGGTTTTCATTAGCTGATTTTTTTTGGAAGCAGATCGCCAAGCTTTCCTTCCTAGGTCATTTTAGTCTGAAAGTTCCATTGAAACCTGTTCAGCATCATAGCAATGCACAAGCCTCCACTGACAGATGGGTGTTGGCTGTACATGAGGCACATTAGTCTGGAATTGAACCTGGGTCTCTCACATGGAAGGCGATAATTCTACCACTGAACCACCACTGCCCTTTGGTGACCATACCCATTGCCATCGAGTTGATTCCAACTCACAGTGACCCTATAGGATGGAGTATAACTGCCCCATAGTGTTTCAAGGAGCGGCCGATGGACTCAAACTGCCGACCTTTTTGTTAGCAGTTGAGCTCTTAACCACTGCACCACCAGGGCTCCAACCATCCCTAAAATAGTTGAAGCCTGTAGGTCTCTGAAGTAAAGCTGGTTGGTACAACTTGAATTTAGGCTCTGGTGCCATGTAAGTAAGCAAGTAACTGATTCTTAGATGTGTATTTTTAAAGGATGAGTAGGTTAGGGCAGCCACTCTTAAAAAGAGTTAAGACTTCAGTTAGCTAGTCCCATGAAAGTAAAGGTGTAAGACAGCCTTAGACTCCAGAATCCATTCCCAGGCTGTGTGATGGTGCCCACCAAGACCAGCTGATGGGGCAGTTCTGGACAAAAAGACTGGTTTCCTACAGCCTTACTAACTGCTTCAGTGCCTCCCCCTACCACTTCTCTGCCAACCTTGTGTGCCAACTCTCCCCTCTCATCTCCAAAGTAAAGAGAAACTATAGCCTTCAGCTCTTCTCTTCATGAGGGTCTCTCCACTTTCCTCCCAAAGGGTCTCAGAAAGATGGGAGGCATCACCCCTGTGTTTTCCTATGTCTAGGAGTCTGTGAGAAAAAGGAATCTGCTCCAGCTGCACCTCTGGAACTAGAAAGTTAGTACTCAACCAGGTAAACACAGGCATTGAGCATTATGCTAAGAGTGCAAACTTTACTGTGAAGCTATGGGGGTGGGGGGTCACTGATGGAGTGTAAGCATGAGAAAGCAGACTTATACTTCAGGAAGATCTCTCTGGCATCAATGGGCAAGGGGCAAAGCTGAAAGCAGGGAGTCCAATTAGGTGAGTACAGTCGCCCTGTGAGAGGTAATGAGGACCTCAACCTAGGTGGATGGAAACTTAAGGAAAGACACTTGGGATTGTTGGGGTGACTAGGGTTATAATTCGCTATGGGGAGGGAGGAAGAAAGAGCATCTGGAGGACTCTCAAGTATCTGGCTAGGAGACCACCTGGATGTAATCCCAGTTTCCATAGAGGAAAAGATATTGGGTTGAGCTTGAGGTGCCTATAAGGCATCCAGGTGTCTAAGAGACATATGCAAAGGTCTGGACTATAGAATAGAGGTTGCAGATGTGAACAGAGGCTGAAGTGATGGCTGTGGGTGAGCTTTGAGAAGAGTCCAGAGAGGACAGAGCCCTTTCTTCTGCTCCCCAGAGACAGACAGCTACCCCTGTTGTACCATGTGGAAAGACAGTGGGCCACTACTTCATTGGGAAAATAGCTTCCTGTGATCTTTGTAAATTTTGTGACACAGAATGAGTTATTTTTTGAAATTGTTGATGAATGGAATTAAGCACCTTCAATTATTGATCTGATTGTAGCTTTTGGCAAAACTTTATTACCAGCCATCCAGATGTAACTATTCTAACCATCTTAAATACATAGCGTATACTTATTTCTGAAATAAAATGTTCAGCCTGGAGATGAAAAAACAAGTAGGGTTAGGCTAGGTTAGGGTTAGAAATTCTCACCCTAGAATTTCTAGGGTTGCTAGAGGTTGTTGGGCCCACACATAAAGAAGGCTGGGGTGGCAATTGAAAGTAAAAGCCCTACTCTGGGGAGCCAGCAAGCTGGTTTTAGTCCAGCATCTCAACTCACTCTCCAGAGGAGCCTTTGGAAAGTCATTTCACCTGTCTGGATCCCACCGTCTCCACCAGTTGGCATCACATCAATTCCAACTCATGGTGACCCCACGTGTGTCAGAGTAGAACTGTGCTTCCTAGGGTTTTCAATGGATGATTTTTCAGAAGTAGATCACCAGACCTTTCTTCCAAGGCACGTCTGGGTAGACTCGAACCTCCAACCTTTCCATTAGCAGCCGAGCATGTTAACCATTTGTACCACCCAGGTACTCCTTCTGGATCCCAGTCTCCTAGAAATAGTTGAAGCTTTACCTCCTTCCCTAAAGCCTTAAGTCTAATCTTCCAGGTGGTTTTAAAAGCCCCTCCCGAGCTCCTGCAACAGCTATATGCAACTGCACGAAACCTGCCAACTGCATATGTAGTGTTTGCTAACATGTCTGCAGCTCCCACTAGACTGGAGAGGTGAACTCAGATACTTTCCTGGGCCAGACTGATGGGATAGATCAGAGGCAGGCAAACTATGGACCAAAGGTCAAATCCTGCCCACAACCTGATTATGTAAATCAAGTTTGATTGGAACACAAACACAACACCTCATTTATGTATTTTCCTTAGCTACCTTCACCCTAAAAAGGCAGAGTTGTGTAGTTGTGACAGAGACTATATGACCCTCAAAGCTTAAAATATTTGTTATCTGGCCCTTTACTGAAAATGTTTGCTGATCGCTGATATATATGATGAAGCAGCCATGTTGTTGTTGTTTCTAGGTGCCGTTGAGCCAGTTCTAACTCATAGTGACCCTACATACAACACAACGAGACACTGCCCGGCCCTGCACCATCCTCACTATCGTTGTTATGTTTGAGCCCATTGTTGCAGCCACTGTGTCAATCCATCTCGTTGAAGGTCTTCTTTTTCGCTGACCCTCTATTTTACCAAGCATGATGTCCTTTCTTTGTGGCATTTCTTGCCATAGGAAATGCAAATCCAGATTACCTAAGCTTCCAATTTTTCAAGAGAGGCTGGAAATCTGGACTTTTTAGCGAAAACTTGTCACTTTTAAATGGCTCTGTGGAGACTGAGAGCTGTGTCTTTGTGATCTCTGTCAGAAACCACACACTCCTAAAAAGTACAGTCTGCTGAGGGAACAAACGAAGAGCAAGCCAGGACAATGATTCCAAGGCGCAAATTACGAATGCTGTAAAGTCCCAGAAAAGGGTGAGATGGTAGCTGAAGGAGGGTGTCAGAGAAAGCTTCAGGGTGGAGAACCAGACTCTGGAGAATGGGCACAATTTGGATGGATGGGCATTCCAGGGATGAAGCGTATCACCAAAGGTATGGGGCAGGGAGGAGACTTTGGCGTGAGGCCATTTAAAACCACCAACATATAAATTAACATTTGCTTCCTGAAAAACAGCCAGATGCTCAACCAAGGCAAATTTTGGTGGGTCTATACAAAGGTGCCACCACCATTTGTCAGTTTGTCATACGGTGGTGGCTTACCTGTTGCTATGATGCTGGAAGCTATGCCATCAGTATTTCAAGTACCAGTACGGTCACCCATGGTGGACAAGTTTCAGTGGAGCTCCAGACTAAGACAGACTCGTAAAAAAGGCCTAGCAATCTGCTTCTAAAAATTAGCCAATGGAAGCCCTATGGATCACAACAGAATATTGTCCAGTATAGTGCTAGAAGATAAGGCCCCTAGACTGAACACACTCCAAATACACAGTGGCTACAACAATGGACTCTAACATACCAACAATCGTGAAGATGGCGCAGGACTAGGCAATGTTTCATTCTGTTGTAAATGGGGTCACCATGAGTCTGAGCTGGCTTGACAGCAACTAGCAACAATATAAAGATGACTTTCGCGGGATTTACCAGTGTGGAAAGAAAAGCAGTCTGTCTATTGATTGTCCTTCACTGCCATTTGCACTGTCCGCATGTAAACTTGTGCCTCAGGAAGAATTAACCAATGAACCGATTTAAAAAATCAACTTGTAGTAATTAAGGTGACGTTTATCTACAAGTGAACAGGGTAATTAATTTGGCCATAGTACAAAAGATGGAGAAAATAGACTCTGATAAGTGTCCTGAAGTATTTCTTTTCAATAAATTAAGATACAACTACAAATAGTCCATCTACCTATTAACTATATTGAGAGCTTCTGTGAGGCCTTCCTCAAAAAAAAAGCAAACCCATTGCCATTAAGTCGATTCCAGCTCGCGGCGACCCCAAGTGTCAAGAATAGAACCGTTGCATAGGGTTTTCTTGGCTGTAACCTTTATGGAAGCAGATTAACCTTTACGGAAGCAGATCACCAGACCTTCTTCCACAGTGCCACTAGGTGGGTTCGAACCGCCAACCTTTTGGTTAGTAGTCCAGCGCAAACTATTTGCGCCTCCCAGGGACTATCAAACTATGAAACTCTTCACAAATTTGTTGTCATCTTTGCACAGGGGCCATGCTAATCTTCTCTGTATTGTTCCAATTTTAGTATATGTGCTGCTAAAATAATAGTAAGAACTAAACTCTAAAACTACATAGAACAGATAAAAGTAGAGATGGATCAAGTTGTCTTAAAGAGACAGACTCGGTCTGCAGGGCTTAGCAGGTAGAAAGGTTAAAAGGGCCAGTCAATGCAGGCTTGATCAACCAAGAAGACATAGAAAAGGACATCATGATGGTGACCATCAGTGGAGCCCACTTGAGAACTGCCCACTGGAGATAGGCCCTCAGCCAATTGCTTTGAGTCTCCGAGCGCCATTGGCAAGGCCCTTCCTACAGTGGTAGTGGCAATGCCGGGCTTTTCCAGTGGAACATTTAATGCCATTAAACATCTGAACCACCTAAGCTCCCCTCGTTTGGATTCCCTGCTCGCTAAGCAACCTTCTGATGATTTGCCTTCCTTGGAGGTCTGTCTTCAGCGAAAGAATGTGCAAGCCATGTGGAGACAAGTATTCCAGACACAGGCAGTTCCAGTCCTCTTGTGAATCAATAAATTGACATCCTGGTTTCACGCCTCAGCTCTCCCAGCTTAGTTAGAGATGAAGCTGAGGGATGGATCCACGCTCAGCGTGCTGACAGATCCCGTTTCTAAACCTGAGGGCGGAGACCAGACCCTGGGCAGAGGAGGCACCACCCTGTGAGGTCTCTCTAGAGACTGCCAAACGCTCCCCCTCCCATGTCCTCACATTAACTTTGGCAAGCATGCTTTCTCCCTGAGACTCGTTTAAGCTTTGGATCTGGCTGCTGACTCGGAGAGCATTGATTTATACGGAAAGAACCAGATGTGAATTGGCAAATCTCTGATCTTATTAGACAGAGGACCCAAAAAATCAAACCCATTGCCATCAAGTCAATCCCGAGTCATAGGAACCCTACAGGACAGAGTAGAACTGCCCCATAAAGTTTCTAAGGCTGTAACTCTTTATGGAAGAAGACTGTCACATCTTTCTCCCGCAGAGCAGCTGATGGGTTCGAACTGCCGATCTTTCAGTTAGCAGATGAGTGCTTAACCTCTGCACCACCAGGACTCCTTAGGGAGAGGGCACTAGTGTGAAATCAGAGCAAATATGACCCTCCTCACTGACCAGCTAAAGCCACTCCTAATGTGTTTTGTGTCTGAAGATTAGTACATATTATTTGATCCTTGTCCACTTTCAATTAATTTTGGTCAATGTATGCCGTTTGTGCCTCTGGGTTGTCAATATTAAATACCATTTCATAGCTGTCAATTTTCTCCACCATAAAATGCAGTTAATAATACCTACCATGTCCTTGATTTAGTAGTCATTCATTCGACAAATGTTTATTGAGTGCCTGCCATGTGAGAGACAGTATGCCAGGCACTGGTGGTACTGGGAATATAAGAGATGCCTCATCCCTGCCTTCTCATGGGAAAGACATAAGTTAAATCAATAATGGCAATTGATTGATTAGTTACAGTTGTGATAAGGGTTGCAAAGAAGAAGTTCACAGAACACTTTTTGGAAGATCAAATGAGATCATCTCTCTGGTTTTCTGCCCACCCGATGGTCCATTGTCAAAGACCAGGAGATGAACAGCACAGTCTCTCACCAACTTATCTACTATGCTCCTCATTTTCTTTCTTTCCTATAAAATCTAATCCTCAGGTGAGCCCATCAACAAGCTCTCTGTTGGAATCCAACAATTGATCATGATTGCCAGAGTTGAAGAAACTGCACCGTGGACATCAGTTCAAGATGTCTATGTCTTTGTGATTCCAGAACCCACTATGCCTCTGCCCCTGCTGGCCCCTGGAAAAGGAAAGCAGGCCAACCTTGGCCACTGGGGCTGTGTACTCACTGCTCATGCTGCTTCTGCAATCTGGCAGAGCGTATCTCCTTCAATGGTAATTTTGTTTTTGTTCTTGTTTATCTTCCTCCCTTCCTTGAGGATTTTAGAATAAATTCACAAAGGAACTGTACTGGCAGAACTTCAACTCTTTTCTTAAAGGAAGTTTTCTTCATATGGAGAAAACTCCATGCAGATGATGGAGGAGGTTTTTCTCTCCCCTCCTTGCTGAGGAGTGTTAATCCTGGTGTTCTAGGGCCCAACCTCAGTATCAATATCCTCTCTACCAATTTTACTCCTGCAAACCTTCTGAAGACCTTTCTTGATACGACACGATTCTTTGCTGTTGTTGTTGTTGTTGAGAATATACACAGCAGAACATACACCAATTCCACAATTTCTACATGTACAATTCAGTGCCTTTGATTACTTTCTTTGAGTTGAGAAACCATTCTTACTCTCGTTTTCTAAGTAGTCCTCCTCCATTAACATAAACTCACTATCGCCTAAGATTCCTATCTAATCTTTCAAGTTGCTCTTGTCACTTTGATTCCATATAAATAGTTCTTAGAAGAGCATAACGCTCAAGTTGAGATGACAAGATTCTTGGGGTCCTCATATGGATTATCCTCTCCCTCGCCCTCCTCCATGACTGTCACTTCATTGAGAAGGCACCCCCCTAATGTCTATGTGGAGGCCCTGGGTAGTGCAAATGGTTAATGCACTCAGCTGCTAACCAAAATGTTGGAGGTTTGAGTCGACCCAGAGGAGCCTCAGAAAAAAAGCCTGGTGATCTACTTCTGAAAACAGCCATTGAAAACCCTATGGAGCACCGTTCTACTCCGACACACGAGTCAGAGTCGACTCAATGGCAAATGATTAATGTCTGTATGAAAACTATTTCCTCGGGACAAAGGATTAGATATGACTCAAAGCTTTGCAAACATAATGAGCTCTTTGAATATTTTTGTTGCTGTTCTTTATTTTTGAAACGGAGATGGTGCCAGGGAAAAGCGTGAGAAGGTGGCCAAAGCCACGTTCACGGAGCAGGCCCTCAGCTGGGCTCCACATCTTCCCCCTCCAGGTTCCAGGCTGTCGCAGCAGCCACAATCTGGTGCATGGCAAAGAGCCGAAACTCGAGAAGGACAGGTAGAAATATGCCCTGCTGCATAAAGTCTCTGTTTAGAAGTGGCACTCTGTCACTTCCACCCATGTTCCATGGATCAAAGCAACTCTCATGGCCAAGTCCAAAATCAATGGGGCAGAGATGTGCACTCCCTATTCTGGGAGGATGGGCAAGTCACATGAAAGTGCACAGCAGGGCTGTGTCATCCTATTACAGGGAGGAAGCTGAGTTGGGAACAATGGTCCATCCTTATAGTAAGTTTAGAGTATATTCTTTTGAGGAACTTGATTGTAAAATGAAACAGCAGAAACTAAACGAAGATAAGGGACCGAGTATGGGTTCCAATTAGGGCTTCAAACCAGTTCATTTGGTTTGAATCCCTGCTGAGAATTTGCATTTCCAGCCCCAGGTATACTGAATCAGAATCTACATTTTAACAAGATCCCCAAGTGATTCTTATGTATGATAAATTTTGAGAACCACTACTCTACTAGTGGTTCTCAGAATTGGTCCTTAACCAGCAACATTAGCATATCACCCAGGAATGTGTTAGATATGCAAATTCTCAGCAGGAGTTCCAACCTGAACTAACCTGTTCAAAACCCTGGTTCCAATTTGCTTTATTTTTCAAATAGAAGAAACTGGAGCAAGTTTATATGCTACTGGAAAAGGAGACAGTAAAGTAGGATCAAGTAAAAAATTACACAAGTGAAAAGAAATAAATGATGGATATCACTTCAACAATTCTCCCCTATCTCTCATGGCAAAACCATGAGAGCCTTTGCTCTCCCCTCACTGCTCAGGAGTGTTAATCCTGATGTTCTAGGGCCCAACTTCAGTATCAGTATCCTCACCACCAATATGTAAGTCAGGGTCCAATTAGTAGACGCACACAGTAATTTGAATTGGGAAAGTTAAATATAAAAAATCAACAGCTATAACAGGGGATTAAAAGAAGCCCTGGTAGTACAATGTTTAAGTGCTTGCTGCTAACAGAAAGGTCCATGGTTCAGCGGTTCAAACCCACCCACTGGCTCTGAAAGAAAGACCTGGTAATCTGCTCCTATAAAGGTTACAGCCTAGAAAACTCCATGGGGCAGTTCTAGTCTGTCGCATGGGGTTGCGATGAGTCAGAGTCAACTTGATGGCACCTAACAACAATGGTAAAATGGGGGATTGGCTACCAGGGGTAAAGAAAAGTCTAAAGAGTAGAGGAATATCATATTTATGGAGCAGTCACTACCACTAGGGCTGAGGCAGAGCATCCAAGGATGGAATGAATATTGAAGAGCCAACTCCCACCACCAGAGCTGAGATCAGACCCCATTGGAGAGGGCACAGCCATACCTCACTGGGTAGTGAAGTCACTGAGGTGCTCGCTGGTTGGTGTCCCTCTGGGAGCCAAAAGAAGCTGTCCATGAGGAGATGTTGCACATTGCCCAAAATACACCTTGGATCTTGATGATTCAATATGTGTTTGATAGGAAATTCAGGCTGCAACAGCCCACCCAAAAAAAAAAAAAAAAAAATTACCCTGAAACCAGGAAATGCCCTTTCATCCTCTAGTGTTCCTCCAGTCCTCTCTACTGGTGAAACGTATCATCGTGCCATCTGGCCACAGATAAATGTGCCAATATCACAGGCAATCAACGAAGATGGATTTGGAGCTAAGAGGCAATGGGCTGATAACTGGCACAGTCCATCCCTGGTTAAATCTAATTCTATGTTTATTCCACACTGACACCCATGCAGCTGAATGTGGATAGAAAAAACAACATCACCAACCAAACTGACTGGTCCCGCTGGTCTGGCCATTAGTGTCAAGTTAGTTCTTAGGGCTGCCAGCAATCCCACCATATTTGTCTGGTCTCCTTGCTCGCCTACTCACCCAGATGATTACTCATCACCTTCTTCTGACTTTCCAAATGCACAACCCCTCCTCCCCAATCCACTCTCTCTCTGCTGATGACCTTGGTTTCTATTTCACTGAGAAAACAGAACATTGGGAAAAGAGCTTCTGCAAGCTCTCACCCCTACATTTACACACCTGCCCGCACCTGCACCCAAACTCTGTCTCCCACCTG